GTGTGTGTGTGTGTGTGTGTTGAAATTACATCAATTGTTATTAATGAGTACTGGTTAGCAGATGTTCTTGTTAGGCACCATTGAGTTGAATACAACTCATAGTGACCCAATGAACAACAGATCTTTGTCTTTTCCTGTACCATGTTCAAAATCTCTGACACATTCTAGCCCATCGCTGCAGTCACTGTGTCAATCCATCTTATCGAGGGTCATCTTCTCCTTGCTGACCCTCCATCTTTCCAAGAATAATGCCCTTTTCCGAGGATTAGCCTTCCCTGGCAAGATATCCAAAGTATTTGAGATGAAGTTTTATTGTCTTTGCTTCCAAGAAGCACTTTGGCTGTACATTTCTCTAAGATGTATTTGTTCCTTTAACAACCTGTGGATATTCAGTACTTTTCTCCAACACTAAAGTTCAAAGACACAATTCTTCTGTAATATTTATCCACTTTCCTGCTCTCAGATGCATAGCTGAAAAGACAATGGTGTAAATCAGGCACAACTTAGTTCACAAACTTACATCATTGCTCTTCAATAAATTGCAGAGGTCCCGACTATAGAATTTTCTAATGCAATACATTTTCTGATCTTCGGACTGCTGGTACCAAGTGTATTTATTGTGAATCCAACTAAGATTAAATTGTTGACAGTTTTAAGTTTCTCTTCATCTAGCATGATATTGTCTATTGGTCCAGGGTAAGGGTTTTTGTTTTCTTGATGTTGACATTTATATTGACAGCTGTGATATCTTTATGAGATGCAATCCATATTGACCTTCTGCAGCAAGTGCTTCAAGCCCTCTTCATTTTCAGTAAGCAAGGTTGTGTTGTTCACATAATGAAGGTAGTTGATTAGTCTTCCTCCAATCCTAATGCCATATTCTTCCTCATAGTGTCTAGCTTCTGAATTTGTTTAGCATAAAGATTTTATAAGTATGGAGAAAGGATACAACTTGGACACACATTTTCCAATTTTAAATCATAAAGTGTTCCCTTGTTCAGTTTGCACAAATACCTCTTGGACTAGATATAGATTTCATATAAGCATAAGTAAGTGTTTTGGGATTCCCACTCTTCTCAATGTTAGCCATAACTTGTTATAATTCACAGAGTCAAATGCCTTTGCATAGTCAACAAAACACCAATCGATATTATTTTAGTATTCTTTGCTTTCCATCAGGTTCTATCTGACATCAGCAATGACATCCCTGATACCACAACATCTTCTCAATCTAGCTTGTATATAGGACAGTTCTTTTTCTACTTACTGTTCTGATCATTTTTAAAGAATTGTCGGCTGTATTTTGCTTGCATGTGATATCAGACAATACTCTAAAAAAGCTGTTGTGTATAAATGTGTATGTATATGTGTGTGTATAATTGTGCTAAGTTGGCATAGAGCTCTACTTTCTAATCTTTAATTATTGTTTTGCTTTATAGCTTTTCAGATATTTTTAGTGTCATTAAGTTGGCTTCAATTCCTAGGCACCCTATGTGCAACAGAATCAAAACCTGTTTGATTTTGTAACATCCCCACTATCTCCTTTCTGCTGGAGGTCTAAAAGGGCTAGAGAAGGGACTTGTTCGAGAATTAGCAAAGAATGACTGATTCATAACCAGTCTATGTGACAACCGAACGTCATGACAAATCCACGGGGACCATTGAGCAGCAAGAAAAACTGATACAACCTAGAAGTTAAGATCGGGGACTTGAGTTGCTATTTCATCTCATTGAGCCAAATATGGCAATCTTAACAAGAAGAAGTACAATTTTCTGCTGACAAAACATTGCAAAAACTTGACACCTGATTAATAAGGGGAAGTGGTAAATGTGATATGTAATAGGATGACCAGGGATTTTTTCCTCAAAGGAAAAAAAGAAGGATGGCAATGGGTTGGCAGAAGAAGCTCTGCATCTTTTTGTGTTGTTGTGTGCCATTGAGTTGACTCTGACTCATAGTGACCATATGTACAACAGCTTTGAATACTACCCTATCTTGAATCAATTTCACTCTGACACACCTAATCCCATTACCCCATCATTAGATCAATTCATCTCATCCAGGATCTTCCTCTCTAGTGTTATCCCTCCACCATCTTTTCAAATAGATGTCCTTCTCCAAGGACTGGTATCTCCTTGCAACATGCCCAAAGTATGTCAGAGTCTCCAAATCTTTGCCTCTAAGGAGCAGCCTGGTTTCACCCTCTCCAGAATGGTCCTGTTTGTTCCCTCAGCAGTTCGTGGTATATTCAATACTCTTCACCAGCACCACAGCTCAAAGGCATCGATTCTTTTTCTATCATACTTAGTCATTGTCCAGCTCTCTGGTGCATCGCAAGTAATTGTGAAGACCATAGCCTGGGTCAGGCGCATCTTAGTCTCTAGACTGCCACACAGTCATGACTTCCCTGAAGCAAAGTTGAGTGATTAAAAGGTAAAACTTGCTAACATAATTCCCCAATCAAAACAATGACATTCTTTATTCTTGTTCTCAGAATCTAATGAAAAAAGAATCCAACAGGTCTACCATTCCTCAGTTCCATTCTAAGTTGTTGAGAAAATGACTTAAGATTAATTAGCATATTGGCACTTATAACAGTACCTTGTATTTATTCTAGTTCGTTTTTCAACTCCTATAAGATTATTACACCACTAGTATAATACTTTTCAGAACCCCTCTAAGTATACTTTAAAATGAAATTAAGATTTATGTCACAATAAATTCTCGCCAGAAATTATTCTTACCTGTCATTGTTGGTAAATTAGTATGGGTCACCTAGGACAGATCAATGTATGTTATAGCCTGTGGATGAAACAATCAATATGCTGTTGTGTCTGACAGAGTCGGAAGCAACCCAGAGCTGACTCTCTAGTGGATGGGTTTTCAGAGACAGTTAATCGCACAGGAGGGAGGAGATTGCTCATCCTTCTCCTGATAAGCAACTGGTGGTTTTGAACTGCATACCTTTGGGATTGGAGTGCAGTTTCTTGTCTCTTGGCCACCAGAGCTCTCTACCAATCAGTATACATCAAGCTTTTGTTAATTTTTTAAATTTTATTATTTGTGTGTGTGTGCGTGTGTGTACTGTCAAATCGTATATGACTGGTACAGGAGGAGATTGTTCCTCCTTCTCCAGCAAAGCTTCTTGTGGATTTGAACCGCACTCCTCTGGGATTGCAGTGCAGCTTCTTGCCACTAAGCCACCAGAGCTCGCAAAGCCTTTGTTAATTTTTAAGGTCCAAATGAAATGCATTTTGATCTATATTAGCCTAATAAGAATGCATGTTTAATGCAACAGTATTTCGTTGACTTGACCTACAAAGCTAGTTTTTCTCCACTGGGCACTGACTGCTTGATTTAAGCTGCTTACTGCAGTCAGTAAATACAACTGAGAAGAAGTGGGGGTCAGGAAAATCAGGTTATTTACAAGAAGTTTAGTAATAGAGTAGCATGAATGGAAATTAATTGAAGGCATTACATAATAAGCACTGGAGTGTTCGTTCGGATCATGGCTGGCACTGTAACTCATCTCTGTGTGTTAGTTTTTTTATATATATCAGTCCTTTGATACTGCAGATCATGTGAGAGAAACTGTGTTACCAAATATTATAAGGTTGAAATTTAGATATTCTGTACTAATGATACTGGTTCATTTCTGATTTCTTTAGTTCTTATAGTCACTTAATTCCATTATTCATTCTACTGCAGCTTAATTACAACGTAAAGGTTTCCAAACCATTTATTTATTACACCTCCCTAGCAGACTTCTTGCAATAAGAAAAGGGCGGGAAAATAGATTATGGGAACACAAATGTTATTCATTCAATATCTATCAAATCGTGCCTACTGAGTAATGTACTGATTATAGATTCTGCATACAACTTGAAAAATCCATTCATGCATAAATAATTGATGATACTCAATAGAATTAATAACCTGTAGTCACAGAGAAGGTAATTTTTCCTTGCTAAAATCTTATTTCACGTGAAATCAAAGTCAAGAAACAAGGACATAGAAAATTCAACCAAAGAAATAATGCTCAACTATACTAAGTGCCGTAAGATCAGAGTACCTACAAATTAACAGCTTTTTTTAACCAGAATGTCAATGACTATGCGTAGCACATATGAATGACATTGTATAATTTTAAACAAGCACGTTGCATATGTATGGAATAAAACATGATGAAACTTGAGTCCATCCTTAATGTCCATTTGTGGGTAAAACATCATCATTGTATTAAAAGGAAACCTGTGGTATTTATAAGAGTGTTCCTTGGAAAACTGTTAGGTAACAATGGAGCACAACAGTTCTGTCGCGGTCTTACTGTCCCAAGCTTGCCTTCGTGATCGCTTTATTGACTGCCTCTTTCACGTCCTTGTTCCTCAGACTGTAGATCATGGGATTCAGCATGGGAATCACTGTGGTGTAAAACACAGCCACCATTTTTCCCTGCTCCACGGACTCTTCAGTGGGACGTCTGAGATACATAAATATCAAGGTCCCGTAGAACATGGTGACAGCTGTCAAATGGGACCCACAAGTGGAGAAGGCTTTCTTCCTCCCATCCGCAGAGCGCATACGAAGCACAGCTACCACAATGAGGGTGTAGGAAACCAGGACTACCGAGAGGGAATAGGTGAAGTTAATTCCAGCGATGACAATCATTGTGTATTCTTTGATGTGGACGCCTCCGCAGGCAATCTTGATAAGAGGAGGATCTGCACAATAGAAATGATTGATCTCAAAGTTGCCACAGAAGTACAAGCCGTAGGTCCACAGCGTACATATGAGACTAACAGAGAATCCGTAGATATAAGGCACAGAGATGAGGCGAACACAGACAGTCCTGGACATTTTGCTGCCATAGAGCAAAGGGTTGCAGATAGCCATGTACCGATCAAAGGCCATCACCGCCAAGATATAGACCTCCACATGAACAAGGGCAATGAAAAAGTAACACTGCACCAAACACCCTACATACGAAATCGTTTTTACTTCTGCTAGTAAGTTTTCTAACATTTTGGGGGTTACGTTGGAAGAGAACCACACATCCACAAAAGACAAATGACTGAGGAAAAAATACATGGGACTCTGAAGCTGGGGACTGATGCTGATCAAAATAATCATACCAATGTTCCCTATCAAAGTGATGATATAAACTATTAGGAACACCACAAAAAAGAGAACCTGCAGCTCTTGGCGACTGGTCAACCCTAGAAGAATAAATTCTGTGACATCCGTGTAATTTGGCATCGCCTTGACATATCTGTATGGCTTGTGGAGAAAGACAAAATATGAAAAAAATGTTTAATTTTTTTATACTAGTTTATTTTTAAAATTAGAATACATTGTTCTTCAGACCAGATTCTTCCAACTTCCCTCAAAATTGTTTTATATTTGGAATGTTCATTTTCCAGTTATTTTAGAAAAGTAGACTAAGAAGGAATCAATCATTTATCAACCCCTCTAATTACTGTGTTACTAGATAAAACACGGTAAACTTTAGGTGATGTTGTATATTAACTTCAGTATCTCATTTTGATAGCTTCAATTTTCATAATATATTACACTTATCATTCATATTCAAATTTAATTCCAAAATAAATGTTTTCAAACCATATTTTTAGTCCTCTTCCCCAGCAGACTTTTTGCAAGAACTGAAAATATGCCTTAAGGAGGCATCTATATGATTAGAACCATTTTAGAAATTATACCTCTTAATATAAATAGTATTTGCATACATCACTGACTTACAAAGCAGCTTTTGTTAATAATTGCTTTCATTAATTCATTCTAAAAACATCAAAGCCAATCACAGGGTAGATGCATTTGTTAGTTTATTTCGAGGACTATTCATGGTGTTGGAAAGATTAGGAAAAACATGATACACTAGGTTCCTATTCTAACATCACTTCATTATTGTTTATAGAAATAAACTAAAAACAGACGAGATCTCTTAGGCAGCAGAGACAATTTTACATAAGTACATCATAATAAAAGAATAGGAAATAAGCTAAGCTGAGGGGAATGGGTGCAAATGGAGAAAGTAAAGGATATCTCTCTGAGGAGATTGACTTTCAAGCCAATACCTAATACTGGAAAAGGGATATGTAGAATCATGGACTAAAATTTGAGGGAACATTTCAAAGAGGAAGTATTAGTTTGCACAAGTCAAATGGAACACTGACAAATTATTTTATATATTGAAGATAATTTAACCTTGATGAGCATATACTGATTTACTTAGAAACAGGACAGATTTTAAAAGTTAAATTTTAGGAACTATTTCCTTATACTTAAAATGCTTACTCTGAAAATGCAATATAATATCTTGAAAATGAATTTAATGCATAACCTAATAAGTGCTAAGGTTTTGGTTTTGATTGAAGTTGGCTCTGTAACTCATCTGTGTATCAGTTCCTTTTATGCTAGTCACTTGAGAGCTGCTTATTGTGAAAGAGAGCTAAATTCTTGAATTTTCCCTTGTCAAAACCCTCTTACCTTTATACTACAAATTTATAATCTCCTAGTTAACATGACACTACTATATACTCAATTAGTAATAAAAAAATTAAACATTTAAATCCACGCAGTTGTTTTTGATGGTTGCCATTGGGTTGACTATGACTCATAGCAACCCTGTGAACAACAAATCTCAATCTTGTGCTATACTGTTCCATCTTTACAATCTCTGACACACTAGCACCGAATCCTTTCAGAAGCACCATAGAAGAAAAGTCTTGATAATGTGTTTTCAGAAGATCACAGCCATTGGAACCTCTACAGAAACTCTCATTGCTATTTGGGTGCAACCCACTCTTAGCTGATTTCCCAGCGAGTTTTCAGAGGCTGTAAATCACACAGGAAGAGATTATGCATCATTCTCCTATATGATGGATTCAAACTGCCAGAAGTTTAAAGGGTTAAAGACCAAACTGTCTTTTGGATTAGTGGCGCAACTCTCTGCAGACACCCCAGAGCTCCCTTTAGAGCACAGCTCTGCTCTGAAATATATGGATCGCCACATGTTGGAATGAACTTAAATTCAGCTATTTGTCTCTCTGTATTGGATGAGTTGAAGCATAACATGGTATATTGTATGAAAAAGCATCACACTATCTTTAAAATATCTATACTTCTAAAAGAAAAGGTCCAGTTTTCCAGACTATTGTCTGTTTCCGTCTTTGTGTAACATGTGTGTTTTTCCTCCTCTGCTCATTATCAATAGCCCCATGACCTTAGACTTCCTTATTCCCCTTAGTACACATTTAGCTATCTGTTTTTATCTTGTTGTATAATAGATACACAGAAATAGAAACAAATACAATGGATAAAACTTCTTGATCTTTATGGAAACTTCATGTAATACATTAAAACATCAATATTTTTTAAATTGCCTTTTTTCAATAAAAAGAACCAATTTCCTAAATCTCTTCTGAATTATTTGCATAAAGTATAGATTCTATTAGTTGTTCTATTTTACAAATGGGAAAACTTAAGCCCTTAAAGCTTAAGAGAAAGTCTCCCTGGGTAACATAGCTGCTATTAGGGAGGATTAAAATACAGCCCAATTAATTTGATTTTGATACTTAGACTTGTTATGTTGTTAGGTTGAATTTACTCGTAGCAATCCTATGAACAACAAATCTGAAACTGGCCCTCTTCTGAACCGTCTTCATAATTTTTGATGTTCTCAAACCCTGTTGAAGTCATTGTGTTGTCAGTCTGTCTTGTTGATGGACTCTACTCTCCTCTCCTTCTCTCAGCCTCCACCTCCCCAGGCATTGTACCTTTTTTCAAGGTTTGGCCTTCCTAACAACATGCCCAAAGTATGAGATGAAGGTTCATCACCCCTGCCTTTAAAAATGCCCCTTGAGCAGAGCTCTGGTGGCCTAGTGGCAAGAAGCTGCACTGCAATCCCAGAGATATGTGGTTCAAATCCACCAGAATCTCTGCCGGAGAAGGAGGGGCAGTCTTCTCCTGTACCTGTCAGATCTGATTGGACGGTACATACACACAAATAATAAAATTAAAACATAAAATAAGGTAGCCTCTTGGTTACCTTTCTTCCAAGACAGATTTTTTTTTGGTCATTTCTTAAGATATTTGGTTCTCATTCCTAACATCACAGTTCAAAGACGTTGATTCTTCCCTGTCAACTTTTTTTACTGTCCAGCCTGCGGGTACATGTAAAGTGATTAAAAGACCGTAGATTGGATCAGGTGCATCTTAGTGTTTAAACTGACTCTTTAGCACAGCACCTTGGAGAGATCCTGGACAGGAAATTTTCCCAGTTTTAATCACTTCACTGCTGTTAATAATGATTGTGGCATTAACCACTTGATAATGATGCTACTTTGATAACATATTATTATTTAAAATTTAACATTATTTCCCTTAAAGACTGGAAGCTCTAGTGGTAAGAAGTGAAGAAGCTACCCTGCAATCCAAAGGTACATGGTTCAAATCTACAGCTGTTCTGTGGGAGGAAAATGGGCAATCTTCTCCTGTGTTATTTACGGTCTATGAAAACCCAGTGGAGGGTGAGCTACAGGTTGGTTACAACTTGATGGCACACCACAATAACACAATCCTTAATGACAGAAGATAATTTTGCTATAGATACTTAAGCCTTGATGGACCATAACAGCTTTATAAAAGCTCCTGAAACAGGTCTAGACAACTGCTTACCACTAACAGTCTAAGGTGAGGTTGACCACAGTGGCCTAGGATCCGATGACCAAATGGTTCTGGGACAGAACAAATTAGACTTGTGTGTGAACAAATGATCAAAACTATTTAAAACATAGAATACCCACTTTAAAAAAAATCCTCATGTTTATGAACTTTTTAGGAAATTACCGTGAAAAATATAATCACTGGTGCAATCATTGCATTGATTCAAGATCTCCAAATTCATTAATAAATGTTTTAAAGTAACAAAATGGCAATCAATGTCTGTTTCAGCTAAAGAGCTGTCAACAAGTATTTAGTTAGTACTAGATTTTAGTAATTATGAAGAATGAAAGGATAAATGAGCAATAAGGAGTTTTTTAAAAAAATCCCTATAACAACATCAATTTATAAGTTGTCTATAGGTAGGTAAGTTTTGTCTATACTGTTGTTGTTATGAACATCGAGTCAGAACTGATCCATAGCTGACCCTCCAACAGGTTTTCAGAGACACAGGAGGAGGTTGTTCATCTTTCTCCCATGGAGAAGCTAGTGGACTTGAACTATGTGCCTTCAGGGAAGACAGTGCAGCTCTTTACCACTAGGCCACCAGTGCTCCCTTTTGTCTATACTATGAATCAAAATAAAACTTCCTCAATAATTTAATTTTATAAAGTCAAACTTTGCTGACAGGTAGAATCAAGCTTTACTTGTCGAACAGGTCTGAGAATGGATATTAATCTTCTCGTTGAATAGGGATAAGAAGAGTAATAACTGACTACATTAATTTGCAAAGGAAAGAGTCCAGAACTGGCAGACCTACCTTCAGCAGAAGCAAAAGGCAAAGAAATGAGTGCTGTCTCATCGTTTATAAAATACTCTCTCAAACATGGGGAGAATCTCCCTCAGGTAACACCCAGGTAATTACAAAAGGAATAATGATTAAAATGCTAGAAACATCTCATGGGTAAGAGAAAAGAAAGTATCTTAATTGGAAGGATAAAGCTACTAATTTGAGATGAAAATTCTTATATCATTATATTACCATCTGTCTTCCACTTTTTCTTGAATTCTGCCAATTTTTTATTACATTTGGTAACCATACATTTCAGGAAGATAGTTTTGCTGAAATAATGTGAGATATAGGTGAGGGACTATTTTCTGTCACATGATACACTTTCATAAGTATAATATTTCATGATAGCTGATCACACACATCTCACAGCTTTCATTGCTTTGTTTTCTCAATGGTCATGACCTTTTGCAAGCACATTTCCAAGTCTTTCTTCTGAGGTTATTTCCATGTAGCTTTGAACAACCAACCTTCTGTTTTGTGGCACAGCACTCAACCATTTACACCAACCAGCAGCTTATAGTGTTAGGTTTGATTGTTACTGTGTTTTTGGTTTTTTCCCATATTTCAGATACTTCAAAATTAAGGATCATTTGCCAACTCTGGTAAACATAAGTGAAAGTAGAGGTGATTGGAGGAATAATAGATTGCAGTAGAAGGAATTTCCCTCACTATATTCAGGTTTTTCTAAAAGGTACTAGATCCTGGATGTGGAAGTTAGATCTAA